TTTGATCATGCTAACACATTGTACTTTCTCCTGTTGAATAGAAAGGGGCTAAATTTAAATACTTGGCAACCAGAGCGCATCTGAGAAATTTTATGTTGTCAACCCAGTAAGCAAAACTAGTGCAAACAGATATGCAGCATGCAGTAGTGAACTGTCCTGTCATTCTTCGTGTCAAGAAACACTTGATTTGAAGAGTTACCTCAGGAAGAACTTGTGTAGCCAAAACATTAGCTCTATCTTTCTTGGATGTAATGATACATATTGTTCTTCCAGACACGATTGTCTTTAAAGGTTGTCTGTCATTGGATTTCTCTGGATAGGCTTGGTCCAGCCTAGCTTCTGACTTGTTGTATGGGGGCAAAAGGCAGGAACGCAGCAATTGCAGAAATTTAAGTGATTTTTTTACTCCTGTGATCCAAGTCTAATTTTAACTTGTTTCTCTTTCAGTATTTTCTGTTCAGATGAGCTTCATGTTTTTGACTTTCCTCTTTTCTACAAGGTAATTGAATGTGCTGAATCAGAACCTCTGAATGTTTGTTTTGTGCAATATCTTTGGGTGATACAGTTTATGCAAATGTTTAAGGGCAGGTTTCTGTATAGGGGTGACCTCATTTTGGTATTTCATATATTGTCCTTACTGCATTTTCTCTGTTAGAGTTTCATAGGCTAAGAGAGCAGGACCTGAATTCTGTCCTTTCTTGTGTGTTAATTACAGAGTTGTTAAATCTCAATCAATCACTGCTATACCTCATCCACTGAAAAAAATGGATTTGCACAGGTGTCACTGAAGGTATAATTTGCCCTGCAGACATGCTGATGACATATGAGAGAGAGAACTCAGTTTGACTTTTTACATCTCAAGATACATTTGCTAGGCTGGCAATTCACTCTTCTCTGTATATGTCAAATGTATTATGTTTATATGGTGATTCTTAAAAGACAGTTGTCCTGAACTAATGTTTGGTAGATCTATTTTTTTTCTTTTTAAATATCAACCATGAGGGACAGTTGTACATTCACTTCTCAAAAAATAGTCCAGTAAGAATAGCGTTAGCCAATGGCTTAGTGCATCACCTGAGCTGGTCAGAGGATCCACCATTGTCCTCTCACTTAGGCTTAGTGGAGTATTTTTCTTTGCAGCACTCTGCTGAATGGGAAGTGCCACAGTACAGCAGACTCCAGACTTTATAGCTTTATGTAAATTATATGCTGTCCGTAAGGGAGAATCGCAAAGAAGGGTGCAATGTCTTAGAGCTACTTATGCTTTTTCACTGCCACAAGAAAATTTCTCTATGACAAGGTCATACCCTGACCTTAAAATGCATTTTTAAATAACTTTTGAACTGCTAGATCTAACCTGGGGGGAAGATAATGTCCCAACTGTAAAATCTAAAATGCTATAAGTAGCAATTAACTGAGTGTAGTAAATATTTAGAATCTCATAAAATTATTCCTGATTTGGACCAAAGGGTGATCCATTGGCCAGTCATATACCTCACTCTGTATGTCATTTTTCCACCCTCCCTGCCCTTAGTCCCAGTGTGTAAACTCTTAGATGCAGTTTTTTTCTGAAGTGGAAGATAACTGCATATTCTAAGCAGTGCTCATAGTGACTCAATATACTATCTAAATTGGGCATTTTGTTAACATTACATACTAGGAAAAGAAACTGTAGGTCATGCTCTTTTTTTTACAGAGGCAAGCTGGCCACTGCTATGATACTGCATGTTTGCAAAAATAACCTTGGCTGTAATAAAATTGTGTCCTACATATCATGCGTTCAGAGTTCTTCTCCTTCACAAGGGAGCATAATTATTAGAGATTTTGCCACAACTGAGAAACAATTCTGGGTTTGTTTTTTTTTAAAATAATCAAACACTACTGTTCATTTTTGGGTAGAATTATTTCTGTCACTAGACCTGATCAAAGTGATGTGAACATAGAATCATAGAATAGATTGGGTTGGAAAAGACCTCCAAGATCATCAAGTCCAACCCCTGATCCAACTCCAATTACTATATCATGGCACTAAGGGCCATGTCCAATCTCTTTTTAAAAACCTCCAGGGATGGTGAATCCACCACCTCTCTGGGCAGGCCGTTCCAGTGCCTGATTACCCTTTCTGTAAAGAATTTCTTCCTAACATCTAACCTAAACCTCCCCTGGCAGAGCTTGAGCCCATGCCCCCTTGTCCTATTGTTGGTTGCCTGGGAGAAGAGACCAACCCCCACCTGGCTATAACCTCCCTTCAGGTAGTTGAAGAGAGTGATGAGGTCACCTCTAAGCCTTCTCTTCTCCAGACTAAACAACCCCAGCTCCCTCAGCCTCATGCTGATGGATCCTCAAAGTAATATATTTGATTGATGATGTTTTAAGAAGGTTTTTGCTCTTGGAGGTTATTGAAACTCTTTCTTTTCTAGGCATAACTCTACTTTCACACCAGCAGACACAGTGGCTATCGTTTTCTGTTCTACACACAAATCCCTCACCCTGGGTAAGTCAGGAGATAAAAGCTTTTGAGCAAAACAACCGTAACATTCATACCTTGCTGTGTTGAAAAAAAAAAAATAAATAAAAAATTGCTGGCTTTTCTGCTTAAATGATTTTGGTTTTGGTATGATAGGTAATGCTACCAATACGATACTAACAGTAGGATGATATTCTTGCACAGATAAAATAATCGCTTATTACAGGGCAGACAAAATAGTTTTCTCAGCTGAGATTTTAGTGGTTATACAGTAAGACCACCTTATTTATGGAAAGCTGGTATTTCTTTCTGTTCTTATTCTGTTCTGTTGCCTAATATACTGTTGATAAAATTTCAGGTTTGTTACTGAAAACATTATAGGGTATATCTGCCTCAGTCCCACAGTAGAATCTTACACCTAGAGGCCAGCATATACAAGTTAAAATCAAAGCATGTAGTGTACTCAGAAATCACAAATAGATGATACTGTCTTTTGCTTAACACAAGCAAAATGTATGTGATTATTTTAAATCTGCAGATATTTTGGATAGTTTTATTTATTAGAATTCATTTATCAAAACATCATTGAGATATTTGTCACTTATGACCCCTTAGAGATAATAAGATGTTCTGGTGGAAATTCACAAAATGCTCCTAAATCAGTTATGCTTACAGCCACTTGCTACGCTTCATCCGTTACGTTCAGTCAGTGAAACAGGTAGTACTTGAATATTTTCTTACTGTTTTTCAAAATATGAAAACATGTGTTTGATAAAGCATGTGTGACTGAATAGATGCTTTTTCAAGACTGTATCTGTCAGAGAAACACAGCTGGTGTCAATAACAGAGGTAAGAATTCAGCCTGAACTAAAAAAAAAGTTGGGACTTACATAAGGTGTTTTCTGAGTCAGCTTGATATAGTGAAACTCATCTCAGGGTTCTTTGCTTCAGCCAGGCCTGTGCTGCACAACTGTTAGCAAGTGCCCTTGAAAGTCTGTGGGAATTGAAGGAGTTCCTGGAAGACAAGAAAAAGGCAAACATAATGCCTCTGTTTCACAATGGAAACGAGGAGGGGACAAGGAATTATAGATCAGTGAGTTACTTAATTTCGTAGAAAACTACTGAGAAAAGTAATTCAATAAATTGTTTTGACAGTGTAGAAAGAAACAAGGAAATGAGTAACAGCCCTCCAGATTTGTCAAATATACCAAACTAACCTAATTTCCTTTCAAACAAGATCCTGTGGATTGCAGAGAAGTAGCAAAAGTTGCATGATGTTTTGGGCTCCACAATTCAAAAATTATATGGACCAATCACATGGAAAAAGATCAGAGGAGAGTGCCATGAATGATCACAGATCTCAAAAACGTGATCCTGGAAGAAGGTTGAAACAATTGAGATTGTTGAGAGAAGACAGCTGAAATACAGTAGTGATCTTCACATGCATAAAAGGTTGATGCAGTGAAGGAAAAAAGTAACTCTTTCACAGTGGACTTTTGAAAAGGGAAGGACTTTGTTGCAATGATGATGGTTTAAACTAACAATTGGAGAAACCTGTCTAATGTAGAACAGTTTAGCTTTGGGATATGTTGCCTGTTGTTGTCTTGAATCTCCTATCATTGCAGACAAGCCTCAGACAGGAATTAGGAAGCTAGAGTTGATTATGCCTTGGAGCAGAACATAGATTAAATGACACTAGGCCCTTTTCAGCCAAATGGTCTATGAAACTGAAGCTTCAACTAATAAATGAGCTTGTATTCAGGAGGACAATTACACTTGTATTTATAGGAAGCAACCCCACACATAAGTCATAACACACTACTGTACTTGCTGTTTGGAGATGCATATAAACTTAGGACACAACTGTTATACTACAGAAGAGAAGCTGGTTGTATTTAACAGCACAAATGTGTAAGTCTCCTCTTCCTTCCTCAGTGAAAATAGTTTCATATATGCTCTGTTGAATACTTCTGCAGCTTGCCATGACACTAAGAAAATAAGCACAAAGCCTTTTTTTAATATTGAAGTCCTAGAGGGGCTTGCCATCACCCAGAAAAAAATGAGGACTCTTCATTTTTACTCACTTTACCAAGCATCCTCCTGCAGCCTGTCTTGACCTGCACCCTATGCACACAGCTGAGTCACTTTTCTTCTTCTAATACACTCTTCTTTTTATATTTTATTTTCTCCTTTAGAAGAATGTAGTTTGAGATTCCTAGCTCGCTTGACTTTTTGGCCCACGTTGTCCCAGTTCCAAGTTACTGCTCTCATTAGCACAACCCGATGAGTCAGGCTTTGTATTTTGCAGCTTTCTTTGCCCAAGCACACCAACAAAAATAGTTTGTCAACCTTGACTTCGAGGACTTCTACAGCTTCTCCTAAGCCATATATAGTTTTACCCCACTCAAACAGATGTCTAACAGATAAGAGACAAGTACAAGGTGAAATGAAACAGGTAGATGGTAGAATGCAATATTGCAGGACTGTTTCTTGACTACAGGCTGTTCTGTTTGTCAGCTTCAAGACAGACTGCTTTACCTTCATCCTTGAAGAGCTCGTGTCTCATGAAAAGCAAGTTTGCCTCCTAGGAGGCTAGTCACAAGATGTAATTTGTTCTTAGGCTTTGCACTTTTGCACTGCCTTTCCTTACTGCTCAGGGCCTGCATTGAGATCACTGGGTGGTTTGGACATGTGCTTCCCTTGCTGTATTCCATCTCTGGGGCTCAGCTTTGTCCTGGCTCCTTTGAGGCTCATCTTGCATGGGGCTGGCAGCAGCATGTCCTTAATTGAGCCCCACCCCTGATGGGGAAATGCTTTTTTTGGCGGTCCCTGAGAGCCCATCTTGGGTAAGCCTGCGGGCCCTGACACTCTTCTGTGCACCCCTACACAAGGCATGCACTATGTAGACATGCTCGCTGTGTATCACTTTCAAGCTGGCTGGTTTTGAGACAATTGGTATTTTACTCTGTTTGGTATTAGTACCAGGTCCAGATAAGGTAGAGTTGCATAAAGACACATTTCTATGTAAATAGGGAGGATCAGGTTTTCTAAAGCTGTAGTGCAATGAGGCATGTCTCTGCACTGATGGAATAAACAGGAATGTTAACCAGAGCATTTACTCCTTCACTGAAGGTGGAAGCAGAGTAGATCTAATTTGTTCTCAAGGATCAGCCATTTCTGAATGACAGCTAAATCTATCCACAGCATAGTCTTGTCCACCCTGATCTTAGCAGAAACAAGAACAGACACAGGAGTTTTGGCCCTTACTCTTTTGTTGTTCTGTCACATTTCTCCTTGTCCAGAGGTGTTTTCTATAAACCCTGCAATGAGAAACCTTCTGTTCTCTTGTAGCAGAGAGAGTTTTTCCTTCTCCTTCTGTCATTACAATGCCTGAAAGCACAAACACAGCTCAGGGTCTGGTTTCACATCCATTGTGGAGCTCTGCTTTGTTTGTCTTCAAGATTCCAGTGGTAGTGTATAAATGACCCTCAACACTTGTTCTTTCACTTTGAAACTGATTTCTCTCAGCTTGGCAGGTGAAACTCCAAATAGGTACGTCTGGCCCATTCCCTGGGGAGCTTAGAATGGCACCGACTAAAGTGGGAGAAGAGCTGACAGCTTTAAAGCTTCAGAAGTGGTAATAGGAGAGGCATGAGAAGACTTTTATAAGTCACTTTCTCCCATACCATATTATGAAACCAACTAATTCCCATGCAGTGCATGCTCATGAGGCCAACTGCCACTTCCACTGTTGAATCCATGAATAAGTGCTTGCTCTGCACGGAGATGAGTGCTGTTCCCATATGCTGGGTTTTATTTTGTAGACAGAACACTTGACACACTTTTTATCTCCAAGATCAGAGTGCAGGGCATGTTTGTGTAGGGACAAATTACACAGGGTAGGTGCCTTTGTGTTTCTTAGTTAGGAACACAAGCCGATATTTCTGCATAGAGGTGGGTGCTTGGGCAGTTTTTTGAGTACAGTACATCACATATGCAGGAAAAACTAATGTTTATTTGCGTTTCAGTTAATAAGTGAAACAGGATATAAAGTTACAAGTAGCAAAGATAAATATAGTATTCACAGTGCCCTCTGGCATACTCACCCACACTTTGTTCTCTCTCTCTCCTTCTCCCCGCTCACATATATGCACGGGACATGTGAGCACACACATAAGCGGACATTTGATGCATGGCTTTTATTAGTGCATTTGCCATTGATTGATTAGTACTTAGTATTAGTACTTCTTCTATTGATTGATTGCAGATGAAGTGACTATTTGACCTTTAATTATGAGCCTTGCTATTGAAAATGACATTGAGCTATGGCTTCACATAATCCATCTGGAAAGCCCAACATGATGCCATTCCCTGGAGTTCATTCAGTGAGAAGAGAAGAGGCCTCAAGGAAGTGCAAAGATATCAGTGTGGCTCATCTGAAAAAATACTGCAGAGTTGTTGCTTGCACTTACACAAAAGTTGCAGCCAAGTACAGAAAGTTATTTTATTTTTTGTAGGAAGTTAGTAGCTAGCTAGAAGTTACAACTCCAAAAGTAAAATGCAGGATTGTAAAAAAATATTTTCACTTTAATTCTTTGGATTTACTATGTAAAATTATTTTATCAGCAAAAAAATTAGTACTGCTATGTATTTTGGCTACCACAAGTGCAAATCTTTGTACTGTAGGTATGATGAGCAGCAGACTGGTAAAAAAACAAGGCCAAGTAACAAAAGGTAACTCCACCTTATAATAAAATCAGGGTATTGTTTGTTATGCAGAGTGCATTTTTCCTCATTTGGATTTATCAGTGTAGCAGTTGTTTCACCATGAAATTCTTAAAGTAATGCAACCAGAGTTTCTAGGCTACAGAATACTTTCAGGAAAGAATCAGAGTTTGTTTTGCAAATAAAAGACAAAGCACTAACTTTATTTTATATGATTTTAATTTCATTTAAAATTATTTTTTAAATACTCAGCTTCTTACTACACGAGTATGGAACAGTCTGTACCTGAACAATTCTTAAAA